AGAGAAGATCACTCGTTTCCACTGCCCACAAGGATGTTGCGGAGAGCGCAACAATGCTGGATGATCAGCTGGATTCTTTGCTCCGCCGGTTTTGGGAAATCGAAGACTGCTCCGAGCCTATTGTGAAGCGGACGAAGGAAGAGCTAGATTGCGATGCGCATTTCGTGCAACATGTTGCTCGGCTGGATTCCGGCGCTTACGCGGTGCGGCTTCCGTTAAAATGCGGCTCTAAGCTGCTGGGAGAGTCGTACCCCCAAGCCGTTCGACGATTTCTTTCCCTCGAAAGGAAGCTCTGTCGCCGTCCTCAATTAAAGGAGCAATATGCTGCCTTCATAAAGGAGTATCTGGAGTTGGGTCACATGTCTCCAGTCCCTTCTGATGCGAGCGTCACTGGCCAATACTTTCTTCCACACCATTGTGTTTTAAAGGAGGACAGTTCAACAACCAAGCTCAGGGTTGTCTTTGATGGATCTGCTGTCACAACATCTGGATATTCATTGAATGACGTTTTGATGTCTGGCCCAGTTATTCAGCCAAAGTTACTGCATATTCTGTTAAGGTTCCGATGCCATCGGGTGGCCATTACTGGAGATATTTGTAAAATGTATCGTTGCGTCAGGGTTTTTCCTGAGGACAGCTATCTTCAGTGTATTCTTTGGCGGGATTCCACCCAGGATGAGTTACAGGTTTTTAAGCTGGACACGGTCACCTACGGAACGAAGCCTGCCTCATTTTTAGCAGTTCGGACAATGCATCAGTTGGCAGATGATGAGCAAATAATGTTTCCAAAGGGGGCCGAAATTCTGCGTCGCGACTTTTATGTGGATGATCTGCTTTCCGGAGGCGACTCTATAGATGAAGCTATTAGCATAATGCAGCAAACATCCGCGATCCTTGCCAAAGGCCATTTTCGGTTAAGGAAGTGGTGCTCCAATGTTGCTGACGTTCTGGATAAGGTGCCTGAAGAAGATCGGGAGTCTTTCCTAAAGTTTGATGATGGTAGCAACTTCACAAAGACACTGGGTCTTGCTTGGGATCCTGCAACTGATCGCTTGCTATTTTCTTTTGAAGGGATTCAGTCAATCTCAAAGCCCACTAGGCGCATTGTGCTTTCTTCAGTCGCTCGGCTTTATGACCCCTTAGGCCTTGTTGGTCCTGTAATTTCAAAGGCAAAGATCTTTCTTCAGAAGCTGTGCCGTGAGAAGTTGTCCTGGGATGAAAGTCTTCCTCAAGCTCTTCACTGCGACTGGAATATGATTTGTAGCAGCTTTGGTAGTACGCAGCGCGCCGAATTCCCTAGATGGGTGCTGACATCGAAATCCGAGGTGAAGGTCCATGGATTCTGTGATGCCAGCATTGAGGCGTATGGAGCATGCGTTTATGTCGTGTCCAAGGGCGCAGGATCTGCAAGCTATTTACTCTGTTCGAAGTCCCGCGTTGCGCCGTTAAAGACTGTTACGGTGCCTAAGCTGGAGTTATCGGGAGCCGAGTTGTTGGCTCGACTTATGTCGGAAGTAGAGCAGCTGAAGGTCTACGTTGGAAAGTATTTTTGCTGGTGCGATTCTGCTGTGGCTCTGTCTTGGATTCGAGAAGAACCCTCTCGGTTTAATGTTTTCGTCGCCAATCGAGTTTCGACCATTCAGAATCTAACTAGAGAAATGGAGTGGCGGTATGTTCCCACTTCTTTGAACCCAGCAGATATCCTGTCGCGTGGTGCTTTTCCCAATGAATTGGTTGAGAATAAGCTGTGGTCTCATGGTCCTCCGTTTCTCGTTGGATCCCAAGAGACGTGGCCGACCGCGGTCCCATCTGAGAGATCAACCCTGGAGTTACGTGCAAGGGTCCTGCTCATTCAGTCTCCGTACGTGGATATAACAGCGGTTTCTAAGTACGCTAATTCGTTTCCAGCACTGCAGAGGGTATTCGCTTACGTATACAAGTTTTCTCAACGAATTCACCACAACGGTGTTACGGCTAGCGATATAAAATCTGGAACACAGCTGTTATTGCGGCTAGTGCAACGTGTGCATTTTTGGGAGGAAATAAAGGCTCTTCAAAATGGAAAAGACATAGCGGTATCCAGTGCCCTTGCCTCATCCTCTCCCTTCTTGGACAAATTTGGACTGTTGCGCGTAGACGGTCGGCTAAAAAATTCGTCGTTGGATTTTGATAAACAGCATCCAATTATACTTCCAAGAAGCCATCCAGTTACGCGGGCTATAATTGTTGACTTCCATGAGCGAAATTTACATACGGGACCTCGCGCACTGTTGGCAATTATTCGGTCCCAATATTGGCCAATTGGGGGGAGAAAAACCGTGACGAAGGCATTACACAAATGCATCCGATGCTTCCGGACTAAGCCTCGGCTGTTGCAGCACATTATGGCTGATCTCCCGGAGGAAAGAGTTAGCGGCTCCCAGGTCTTCGGAGTCACTGGTGTGGATTTTTGTGGACCGTTCTATTATAAGCCGGAAGTGCGTAATAAGGCTCCAGTAAAATGTTACATTAGCATGTTCATTTGTTTCGCTACCAAAGCCGTCCATCTGGAGCTTGTAAGGGATCTATCCACAATGTCTTTTTTGCAGGCTTTGAAGCGTTTTATATGCACCCGCCGAAGTCCTCAACATATTTGGTCTGACAACGCAACCAACTTTGTTGGAGCCAAAAACGAGCTAAAGGAGCTGCGCCGATTATTTCTAAGCGAAGAGCATCAACGGTCACTGCTGGAGTTTTGCTCTATGGAGTCCATCGAATGGCATTTTATTCCTCCTCGATCTCCGCATTTCGGTGGTCTGTGGGAAGCGGCTGTTAAAACCGCCAAGCACCATTTTTACCGAGCTGTCGGATCTGCAGTTCTGGGATTCGAGGAGTTGCGAACGCTGCTGTGCCATATTGGGGCTGTTATAAATTCACGACCCTTATTGTCTCTTTCAGAAAATCCTGCAGACCTTGATGTTTTGACCCCGGCTCATTTTTTAACTGGTGGTCCGTCAGTCAGCTTTATCGAGCCTGATGTCACAAAGCTGAACTTCAACCGGTTGGACAGCTGGCAGCGCGTGTCTTTCCTGCAGCAGTCTTTCTGGTCCCGATGGAAGGAGGAGTACCTAAGTCTTCTCCAGCAGCGCTCCAAATGGCGCGCCTCCGGTCCTGCCTTGGCCCCAAACGATGTGGTGCTAGTAAAGGACGAGAATCTACCTCCGATGAAATGGCCGCTTGCGAGAATAATGGAGTTAATCCCTGGTCGGGATGGTATCTTTCGAGTGGCGGTGATAAAAACCTCATCTGGAATTACCAAGCGAGCAGTGACTAAGCTGTGCCTTTTGCCCCTTAAGGATGAAGTTGGAGTAGAAGCCCCAACTGGGGGGAGAATGTCGGGTCAAGCAGCAAGCAACTAATTTAAACACAACAATTAATAAGTAACTGATGTTTTGCTGGTCGCAAGCCGACTCTCTTTCGGCCGCTCGGCTTTGCTACTTCGGCGCTTATGGTTAGCGAGCATCCGCTCAGCCTATTCTGCAAGGTTGGCGCCACTCTCGTTCGTACTTTTACTGCGCTCGCATCCTAAATTGGATTTCAAATATTGTACATAAATCCTAATTTCATATGCGGCCCGAATAAAGTTTATAAAGTTCAATTTAAATACAAAATCATTTTTTATTTACGGCATCGAAAACTCTCGATGACCAAACAATGCCTATTCTGAAAGTTGCTGAGAAAGCTTTCCTGACCCATGACCTAAGATTGGATCCGGCTTTGATAAGTTGTGCCGGGACAATGCCATCTGGGCCTGGGGATTTGAAAGGCTTGAAGCTGTTTTGGGATCTCTATGGCTACGGCTACGTGGTCTTCATTACTAAAACTGGGTAGCAAAAAGAGGTTAAGGTTCTTTTTTGCGAGGATGAAGGTTTGCCTTTTACCTGTTGTATCGTCTTTGCAGAGCCTATACTCCGACGCCCCCAACCCAATAATCCTGTCTCCAAGGATCCAGGGTTCCTGGATGAGGGCCACATCAGCCCAACTCTTGGCGAGGTGGAGTAGAAGGGCCGCTGACGCCGCTTTACTGTGGTGGAAGTTTATCTGCAATATTGTCAGGGACATTCTTACGATTCTCCAACACAGTAACTTCTGCCTCTGTCAACAGAGAGTCCTCCTCCATTCCAACGTCTGTAAGTTCCCTTGCCAAGTCGCTCTCCTCTGAGGTGTTCCCTTCCGCTGGCTTATCTGGGTGTTTTAGGGTCGGCTTGCTTATCTGTGAGCCATAATCGTGCCCTCGGTTTATTTTGGATCTTCTCCCAGTCAACCGCCACCATCTTTGCTCCGGGGTAGATCTCCCCAAGCGATGCTGCCATTCGCTTGTAAGTCTCTACCGATCGCGCGTCTTGGCAGGCAATTACCGTGACGCTACCCTGGTGGGGGCCCTCCGCCCTGTAGCAACTCCTCCACGAAGTACCCAGCCAACTTGTTAACCACTCGTCGCCGAAGGTCCTTGGGGATGAGCCCATCTTTGAATCCCTTGTCCAGGACTCCAATAAGAGTTCTTCCCATCGTGACTTCGGCGAACGAGCGGTTGGACGGCTGCGGCTGGGCCTTCCACTTTATTGGCTTGGACGACTCCCTCCTTCGATCTCTGCTTTTTCGCGCTATGCGCGATCTCCTTGGCAGGATCTGACCCAGCCAGTTTCATCGGCTCTAGCCTCACACCTGCCGTTTCCGGTGTGAAGTCGGGCAGGACCTCCCTTGCCCACTTAAAATTCTCAGCTGCTCTCCTCCTATCTTTATAAGAGCCCTTCCGCTGCGTTGAGTGAGACGCACTCGGACCAGGGTTGCCTTAGGGGCCCCGCCGGTTAGCCCCGCTTTGGAAGAAGATGCCTTGGCAACCTCCACCGCACCGGCGCGTCCCGCCTCCAGATGTGGCCCTCTGGAACTGTGGGATTAGCTTGCGTAAAAACAGATAGCCGGACAGCTACTCATGGTATATATATATTAAATATATAAAATGTATATATAGGTATATATAATTAAATTTACATAATGATACAACAAAGGAGCCTTAATTTTATTGGAAATATTATCAGGTATTTGCAGAACATTGTGTTGCTTCGTTTAATGAGTGCTTTAAGGGAACAGCAGCATTTCCATGAACATCTGTTGTGACGATCGTGTAGCAAGAACCACATAGCCTTACTGGATTAAAAAGCTTTTCGAATGGTAAGGGCGCCCAATATTCCGAACAGTCAGCACAAAAAATTTCTCCACAGGATCTGTAAGAGTCAAAAAGGTCGCAAAATAATTTTGGTTTGTTTCTGAAATAAATATTTAAGAGAATAAAAAAACTTAAAAAGCGGTAAAACGCTAATCTCAAAAAAAAATATTAAAGTATTTATAAAAATAATCCAATGGTTTAAATAGATTATAAATTTAATTGTTTGTTTCATTGTATTGTTCATTGTATTCAATCCATTGAAAACAAATATATTTTTCATTGTATTAATCATTGTATTCCATTTTTCATTGTATTAGTATTCTGTAATATTGTATATATTTAGTTATAGCTAAAGCAGTTTTATCTGTCCGGTTCGTTATCGCGGTCGGGTTCATTAGCCCCTCTTGAGCTTTGAGTCTCGCCCGGGCGTTCTTCGTATATGCGACATAAGCTCCCTGTTCCTATTTAATTATTTTGGCCATGGTGTGCAACCCTAAATTCTAAACCATTTTACCGCTATTTTTTGGGAGCTTGAGGCATATCGCGCCCTTCGGACTACCGCCATGTCCCCACTCCCGCTCCGCGAATGTAACATAATAAAGACGTAAATTAATAGACGGCAGTGATTATTTTAATGGAAAAGGGAAACTTGCCGACTACCAAAAAACGCTCAGGAACGCAGCATTGGCGACCCCGACATGGTGACAGGTCCTGACATAGGACATGATTGTCAGGCATAGTATCGGCTTTCACAAATTATTGGAAAGTTTTTCCAGTAACGTAACCAATTGTGAGTTCGCCTGCATTTAGGTTATATTCGGGTGCCGGTATAACTAATTCTGCCGCAGTTGCTTGTGCTTCTTATCTCGGCACTCTTCTTCGTCGTTGACGGTGCTTCTCGATCATCTTGGAAAAGCTGAAGCTTTTGGGGCGAACGGCCGATGAAGGTCATGTGCAACTTAAGGAGCTGCAAAATGTGTTTTATAACGCAGCTCATATGGTGAGTGTGGTTGTGTTTCCCCTATTTGTTTGCTGGACCGTGCAAATAAATTCAATTTGATTATTTTTTTTTGATTTTGATCTTTTGTCAGAGGTATGCCAATTTGAAACTGCACCGCTAAATTAGCTTTTGAGACTGCACGTAGTGTCGCTTAAAACAGCTGACCTTAACAGCTGTCATTTTAACCCTAAACTGTTAAGTAAACATTTTAGTTATGTAACATAGCAATTTGATCATTTCTTAACATTGTAACATTGAAAAAACGGAAATTTACATACTCGCGAAAAATGAGTTTTGACCACGGAAACAGGTAAAATTCCACATAGTGGGTTGGTCTCTCAAATTCCATGCCTTGTCCTAAGCTCGACAGGAGGTAGTTTCGTCGCGGATTCTTTAAGCCGCGCCATCTTCGGCCATGTCGTATCGATCGTTGACTACTGCTTACCGAAAGTAAGTTAGCCCTGGAGGCACGGTACCGCGCGCTAGATTGCCGGATCGCGCCATCGCAAACATTCACTGTGACTGCACGGATTCAGCCTGCAGATTCAGAGCTGCAGGAGATGACCTATATACCATACATGCCCCCATGCCCAATAGATTTTCCAAATAACCCAAATATTCCAAATAACTTTTAATTGTGCAATTCGGATTCTAAATGACTTTTAATATGGTTCACATGCTCCTTTAAAAAGGCCAGCATACCATACGCTTTAGGCAGTCTACGTGACCAGAAAATTTAAATTTGCTGTCGAATAAGACACCTAAATCTAAAACCTCCTCTTTACCTGTCAATCTAAAATCAAGATAGATATCAAGATTCGGCTTACTGTAGCAGGTAAACAGACACTACGAAAGGTTTAATGGGAGAAGATTACGGGAGCATCATGAGAAAACTCTGGATGTATCCTTCTGTAACAAGCAACTGTGACTGATATAACAAATTCACTTATAAATTTTAAGGTCATCCGCATACATCAGTAGGCAAGGCAAAAGAATGAAGAGATTTTATTAGTAAAGATAATAAATAGGAGAGGTTCCAGAGAGCTGCATTGTGGAAGACCAGAGGAGGCTACAAAGGGACTTGAGATAGCGTCACAATAGGAACGTGGCATGTTCGGTCTGTCAGATACGACTCGAACCAACTTAATAAGGAGGAATGACTATGCCAGAAGCGCAGAATGACAAACTTTGTCAAAGGATTTGGAAAAGTCAGTGTAAATGGCATCAACCTGAAAGCGGTTCTCAATGTCTTCAATGCAAACCGCTAAATTTGTTGTAGGCAAAAAACCTTGCTTGGAGATATAAAATTACGAGTCAGAAAATAAATTCTGTGAAACATAAGGGTTACAAAAATGTTTCAAAATGTTGATACCTTCGCTTTTTATTTCTTTGACTCGAAAAACGGGGTTTGAAATTGGCACATATTATAACTCGAACAACTTTTTAATATTTTTTATGGAATTTTGATAGTTCTTTGATAAAATTTTGAGTTTTCGTTTCTCTAGCTTGCACTGATTTAGATTTAACGATTTTTTCCCCTCCTTAAGTTTAAATCAGTGGTCGGCACGGCCCTATCCCGAGGGCATCGGAAATTTCTCTGCCCGAGCTCTGCCACACACACACAGTATAAATGTGCGAAACGTCATGCTCACAGCCTACTTTCTGTTATTCGTTACTAATACTAATGCGTTAAAATCAAATCAATGTATTGGGGTGCCGACCACTGGTTTAAATTTACACCTATGACCGTCACCTTTTATGTTTTTATGAAACAAAACTTTGTGCATTAATTTTATATATATGCATAACAATATACCCAAATTTAATACATTTACCGTATTTTCTGGTAAAAAAAATGGTAAACAAGAAAAGAACGGTAGGTTGATATGACCGGATATATATCGCAAGTATCGGATATAGTTGGCCAATCTATATGGCAATTTCATTATAAAGCCAATTTCTTAAAATAAAAATATGAAAAATGTCCCAAACTTCTACTTTCAAAAATACCAAAGTTACAGTTACATAGCGTGTGTCAGCGATGTTTGTTCCGAAATTGCTGAATTTTGACCAAAAGAACCGTCGCATGAGCATCGCACCGTATGGAAAGTGCTTTGATGATTGGAAACGATAAAGCGCTAAAGATGATTGGAAAACCGTTGGAATAAGTGTATTGTGTCTGAGGGGGAAAACTTTGAAGGGGACAACATAAATATTGATAAATAAATTAATAGTTTTTCTTGAATATACAAAGTCACCTTACGTTTTGAACACACCTCGTATTCTTAAGTAGGGGTCGACATATACCTTATAGGGTCGGAGATGTCTCCTTTCCTGCACTTTTGAGTAAAATTATAATACCCTCTGCAAGGGTATAACAAGAAAGGAACTTTGGTTGATATACCCTTTTACTTAAATGAAACTGTATATGTTATTTTACACTTCGTAAAACATCAACTTAGTCAAACTATCACCTTTTTTAATCTTTCGAATTAATCAGATTTAATTATTTTTGGACTTTGGTGAACGTTGATAGATAGCATGCAGAGCGACTCAGGGTCCTGAGACCAAACGATAAAGCGCTAGGGTCCAACGTTCTGGCACAGACACTGGTGATGTTTTCCATATGCGCATGATAGGTAGTATATGCGCTGTTTGGAGGAATATACGACGCAATGATGACGAACGACCTTAGATGCCCTGGATTAAAACGGAAAGCTGATCTAGTAAAGGGTTGGCCACCGAAATAGTGATATAGCCTGAAGAAATCAAGGGATAGCGATAATCACACCACCCCCTCGCACACACTAGGTACTGGATGCATCTGGATCTTTTCGAAATACTTGGTACAAGTTAGACTCAAAGAACTCAGAGGAGCTAACGTTATTATTGAGCAACGTTTCTACAAGGATGATTATATAAAAATCGCAGGCTGAAAAATTCAGGAATACCATTCGGAACTTGATGCTCATTTCCAATATATTTTGGAACAGAACTTATAAGCTTGTATTTGAGTCAGAGGAATAATTATAGCTACGGTCCAAACTGAGAATACGACAGCTAGGCGGTAGTGATGAAAGTGCACTCCTGGTACTGGTGCATGTGGAGGCATATCCAATACGCATCGCATGCAAGATAGCCGACGAGGATACATAGATCTTTCCATTAGACCAGAGGTCGGCACGGCCCTATCTCGGGGGCATAGGAAATTTCTCTGCCCGAGCTCTGCCACACACACACAGTATAAATGTGTGAAACGTCATGCTCACAGCCTACTTTCTGCTATTCGTTACTAACACTAATGCGGTAAAATCATATCAATGTATTGGGGTGCCGACCACTGCATTAGACTAAACAGTAGGCCTGCGAATGTCCAGTTGCAAAGCAAATCCAGTGCCAGGTCGAAACATAGATCATTCATAATCTGCCACATCCACGCGCACATCCAATAATCCTCTCTCACGTCCACAAGCTAAATAAACATCTTCATTCACATCATCACGAGCGGGTGGCCCACCGAAAAGAGATAAGAAAATAAGCAGTGAGGCGCTGCCAACGTCTCGATTACCATCCTCTTGTTGTTGCTGGACATCCACACGTGAAAATAAGATGTAAACAACTCGCCTTGAAAATAGTTTTTGTTGTTGGAGCATATCGATCTGGAATCAGAGTAAATTATTGAAGGAATGAAAAAAGCGTAGACCGTTACCACTAACGCCAGCGTCCTTTTTTATTGATAGCGCAGCAAAGAGCAATCGTGGTGATAAATGGAAGTTTGTGAAGAGGAGAAAGTAACGGCGCCCATGGCGCCGCTTACTAGTTTTTTGAGGGATTCGCGTTTGTGGTAAAGGGAGAATAGCCGGGATTCCAATAACCTTAGCAGGCTCTCTATCCACAAACCGGCTGACTTTTACCGACATAGGCAAAAAGTCATCATTGACGACTGTAGGGACATGTTGCTCGGGACCCCCAATTTATCGTTAACGAACTTAAGGGCGTTGATGTTTGCATCTTTTTTGACCAGCCTAGCACAGGCTCCATGTTCAGCGTATCTGCGA